ATGGCGTGAACCCGGGAGGCGGAGCTTGCAGTGAGCTGAGATCTGGCCACTGCACTCCAGCCTGGGCGACAGAGCCAGACTCCGTCTCAAAAAAAAAAAAAAACAATAACAAAAAAATAGAATTTTGGAAAACTTGTACATGCTACCATGAACTTGACACAAATACTTTTCCTATTAGATTGATGATGATATTAACAAATGTGGTTTTCTGACATTGTATAATGGAACGTGTCAATATTTGAAAGATCTGCATAATTCAGTGAGCCAGTATTTTCCAAATGACCAAAGCATGACATTATAAGATCATACATGGAAAACAATCTATGTAAAGTACAAGATAGACCAATGGATTTTAATGTAACAATACAAAAATTCATTGATGTAATTTCTAATTTTACAACGCAATTAACCTTTAAAAAAGAAACCACCTGTTGACTATTATAGTATCAAAGAAAAATATCCACAATTGTGTGAAAAGTCTGTTAAAATATCCTTTCTTTTTCTGACTGTATTACTGTGTGAGGCTGACTTTTCTTGATGTATTACAGCCAAAACAACATATAGCAAAGGATTGAAAGTAGGGCAGGCATGAGTATCCAACTGTCTCCTATCAAGGCAAACAAGAAAGAGATATGCAAAAATGTGAAATTGTGTCAGTCTTCTCACTAATTTTTTGTTTTGTTTTGTAAAATATAACTTTTTTGAAAAATTGTATATGTTAATGGGCATGTAATTATTATTTTAAATGAAATAAGAAAAGTATTTTTAAATTATTTTAATTTTCCAATGTAGTAAATTGGAAAATTTTAATTTTCCAATGTAGTAAATTACTTACATAAATTATTTGGGGTGCCCATTTCTTTTGAAGATTACAAAAGGGTGCTGAGACTCAACAGTTTGAGGGCCGCTAGAGGACTGGGGATAAAACAACTTGTGTATATTTCCGTTGTTGTTGTTGTTGTTGTTTTTGTTATTGTTGTTGTTTGAGATGGAGTCTCGCTCTGTCACCCAGACTGGAGTGCAGTGGCATGATGTGAGCTCATTGCAACCTCCCTGTCTCATGCTCAAGCAATTCTCCTGCCTCAGCCTCCCGAGTAGCTGGGACTACAGGCGCGTACCACAACACCCAGCTAATTTTTGTTTTTTTAGTAGAGATGAGGGTTTCACCATGTTAGCCAGGCTGGTCTCGAACTCCTGACCTCAGGTGATCCGCCCTCCCCGGCCTCCCAAAGTGCTGGGATTATAGGCATGAGACACCACGCTGGGCCTGCCTCTGCTTTTAATGGTGGTTCTGCTTGTTCTCTTTTAGCAGTTGCCCCTGCTCCTCAGTTGTGGCTGAAAGGCAGTATCCGGTCCTGGTCACTGATAATATGAACTGATCTTGTTACTATTGAGGCCAGATGGCAGGGTTTCATGTCTGTACACAGAGCATTTATCATCCTTTGATTTCTGTAACAGCCATCCATCTATCTGTATCTAATCTAGCTAGCTATGTGTAGTGTCACTAGCATCATTGGGGGATTGATTCAGAGAGAGAAATTCAGATGAAGTCAACAAAAATTTTAAAAGGGAGATATTGAGTATTTTAATTCTTCTTTGTCTAGATTCTTTTGCTACTTGCTTTTTCTCTTTTTTAGATATTAGAAATCCTTTTATGGGACCTATTCTTATGAAGAAAAGAATAAATTACTCCTTCAGAGAAGAGCGTAATATCTGACTGACTACAGTACACCTCACCTTTAGAGCGGTTGGACATAAAAATACCATATTATGTTCTTTCTAGAAGTAGGTTGATCCTTTCCTACTGATAAAATCAGGCCTACTCTCCCCCACATCTGCTAAGATGTTTACACAGGACTGTGTTAACAAACAGCCATCCAGGCCTGAAGGAAGCTTAGTGAGTGATATGCTAAATTAATGGGAAGACCTGTTTCTCCTTTATGTTTCTTTGTCTGAAATTTTTATAGGCAGGAAATTTTAAAAATAGAAAACTAGCAAATACCAAAATTAATTAAAACAAATGTATTCTTATGTAACACTTTTTTCTTATTTTAAAAAAATCCCCAAATGCCCAAACTTGCTTCTTCCATCTATTAGAAAATCATACCCCAAGGGGAGGAAAACATCAAGCTCCTTCTGGCCGTTGGTTTTCAGCTCTCATTGCTTTAACTCCAAAGGACATGTCTGGATCCTGGCCATCGTTTCCTATCACTTCATGGAGTCAGTGTTGTTTTGACAATGCCAGCCCGGGATTTGCTTTTCCATGCATCACTTGCATTTGTCTCCTACAATGATGTTGATAACAACAGGGTTTATTATTGATGAGTTCGTACTTAGTCTATTTAGTTTGTAAATGTCAGAGGTTTCTGTGTTGATTTAGGAAACTGTAAATGTCACTTCAAGAATCAGACTTAGAATTTTTAAAATATATTTTTACACTAAAATTTAAACTATAATTCTACACTTTCTGCAACAAGAAAATCACATACTTAACTACTTTAAAACATGGCTCTTTAGCTTGGATAGTTACAGCCCTTTATTAAGGTTGACATAGAAGAATTTTGCTTTGTTCATCAATTATTTGTTGAGTACCTACCATGGGCAAGACACTTTCCAGGGGCTGGGGTGGACTGGGAAACATAATAGGTCTGGTCTCTATCCTCTTGGTTCATGATCTCGTGGAGGAGACAGAAGAAAATGTTACCACATTATGAAATTGCAAGTGATAAATGTGTGCGATCAAAAAAAGTGTGACAAGGGAACCTAGTGGGATTGTCAGAGAACGCTCCTTTGAGGAAGTGCCATTTGATCCCAGGTATGAAGTAAGAGTAAGAACTACTAAAGAAGGGGAAGGGGGTCCTAGGGTCCATTTCATGCAGAGAGAACAAGGCCTATGGAAGCCCTGCCTGATATGAGATGGAGCCTGATGTTTTTGAGGAACCAAAAGAAGGGCTGTATAGCAAGTGAGCAGAAAGCAAGTGGAGCCAGACTGAATGGCATAGAGAAGATTGAGATTTTGCATGGCACCAAACACATAAGATTGGGCTTCGAAAGGGTAATCACATTCACGTATTAAGAGGGCTACTCTGACATTAATGTGGGGAACAGATTGAAGGAGCACTGTCATTAGAACTCTGGGCCGGGTGTGGTGGCTCATGTCTGTAATCCCAGCACTTTTGGAAGGCTGAGGCGAGCGGATCATGAGGTCAGGTGTTTGAAACCAGCCTGGTCAACATGGTGAAACCCCGTCTCTACTAAAAATACAAAAATTAGCCAGGCGTGGTGGTGGGTGCCTGTAATCCCAACTACTCAGGAGGCTGAGGCAGGACAATCGCTTGATCCTGGGAAGCAGAGGTTGCCGTGAGCTGAGATCGCGCCATTGCACTCCAGCCTGGTGACAGAGCAAGACTCTCTTAAAAAAAAGGAAAAAAAAAATGAGGATACCTATCCTACAGTTGTGAGATTGTTGATAATACATGTAGTGGATCCGGCATGATAAATGGCAGTGAAGGTGGACTGTAGGAATGGAGTATTAGGAGGAAAAACTTCTTCTGCCCCATATTCTTTCTGACTGCCCCTGTCTCATAGGTATTTGACCCTTCAGATTCATAGCACTAGAAAATTTATCAAACAATAATAGGCTGAGCACAGTGGTTCATGCTTATAATCCCTCTTCTTTGAGAGGCCCAGGTGGGAGATCACTTGAGGCCAGGAGTTGTAGATCAGCTGAGGCAACGTAGCGAGATGCCGTCTCTACCAAAAATTTAAAAATGAGCCTGGCGTGGTGATGCATGCCTGCAGTCCCAGCCCCTTGGGAGGCTGAGGCAGGAGGATCGCTTGAGCTCAGGAGTTTGAGGTTATAGTGAGCTATCATCGTGCCTCTGCACTCCAGCCTGGGTGACAGAAATAATAATAATGGCAATGAACCTGAGGAGCTTCTTGTTTAATTTATTACAAACCACTTGTTAAAAAAGATTTGTTAATATTCATAGCTTTGCCAGAATTTTATATTATTCAGAACTAAAGCAAATAAAAATGTATTTAAATATATACTGTGAACATTTTAGTTGGGTATTTTTCACTAGAGAACCAGATTTTTAGAATTAGGGGTGATTACATATCTTTTATCTTCCATGTTTACAAAACTACTCTGGTAATTATTTAGAGTATGTTACATTAGTTAATAGCCCATCTGCTCATTTCAGAATATCTTTCTGAAAATAAAAGATTTGTTGGAATTTAAATGTAACAGTGACTTGCAGTTGACATAGGGTTGCATCCTAGTTGCTAATGTGATTTTGCTCCTTTATCTGAATTAAAAGCTGAATCACTCTAAAATTCATTTCCCTCTCTTTCCAGATCATGTATCAGTTGGAGGTCTTGGAGACAGCTTCTATGAATATTTGCTGAAGGCCTGGTTAATGTCTGACAAGACAGATCTGGAAGCTAAGAAGATGTATTTTGATGCTGTTCAGGTAAACTAATATTTAAATCTTCTTTGCCACTCAGCCCTAATTTATAACTTTATATTAATCAAATTTTAATGAATAAGTGATGTACTACATGAATGAGTTACAAAATACTTCCAGTTAGGTAGAGTTCGATATCTGCTAATATCATAATAATTGTAATCATATTTGATGTTTATTTCTAATTGGGCAGCTAAAGTTTTTGCATGGTTTAAACCTCAGTTAAGAGTCACATATCTGAAAAAGTCATATTCTTTCATAAATATGAATTATCTCCTTAGGACCACAATTTATATTATGTGGGGGGAAATCCTGAATTTGTATTCTGACAATTGCCTAAGTTAAAATTGCCCAAGAAGACAGACAGTCCCAATGGCTACCTCCATGTGAAGTAAACTTGTCCCCAAAGATATGTGGACAGTACTCTAAGGAAATCTACACATAAAAATCTGAATAAACTCATATTTAAGGGAAGATCATTAATAGTATCAAAGATTCTTTACAGTGGAGAAGTAAGAGGCAACAGTTGTGTGTTGAATTGCCTACCATGTGCTAAGCAGTGTGTTAGGGTAGCTCCTTTAAATGAAATGGTGGAGTTGGGTTGTTTTTCTTCCCTCTCACAGTACTTGAGCTATTACTCACCCAGTTTTACAGATAAAGTTGCTGTACCTCAGAGAAATTACATGTCAAACCAAAATTAAGATTAAAGTTTGTCTGTATCAGCACCTGTTCCTTTTAACTCATTCACTGTGGATTTATTTGTAAGAATTTCCATTCTACATTTAAATCTTCATTTACTAATTTGCAAGCAGTAAGTTAGTAAGGTAAGTTAGAAACTACTTAAAGTCTCTCGGAGGAGGCCAGTATAAAAGTAAACTAAGAAACACCTCCAGTTAAGCCTCAATCAAAACCGAAAATAAAGTTAGAAAGTAAATCAAGTCAGGAAGAAAATTATTTTATCTAAAATATTTATACTCTTCAGGAACAAAATTTTTTAGTGGAATCAGGTGTTTTTGTGATTATTTAATGTGGTAACACATATATTCTTTTAATATTATTATCAAGGCTTCTCAAGTAGTGTTGTAAAATAGTGGCTCAGTCCTCAGAAAAATTTTCTTTGTCTTGACAGCTTAGAAATTTTTTAATAAAGTGTTAATTCATAGGAAAAAATGGAAATTTTTAATCCCAAAGATGTAGCCATTATAAAATTGGTCTTTCTAACAAGAGGTCTGGGTTATTTTGACATAGGCATACTTGTTTATTTAAATATAAATGCAACTTGCTTTGTTCTGGCACTGAGTATGACATTGGTTTCCTTTACAAGTCTTCACTACTTCCCATGCAGGAACCAGAAGCGCCTTAGTGAGAACATCGGCCTACATTTGGCACAGCCTTTATAAAGGCATGTGATTAACATCAAAAGCAAACTAGGATATGATCCACATGGCCTCTTTTAGGTTTATTTTTCCTCACTGCTATGAGGTTTCAGATTTTAATCTAGGGAGTTCTCCATATTTTATAGTTTCCATTCTGTCATCCTCTAATCACCATACTGGCAGACATTTTAATTATTCTAATCCTAAATTGGCCCTCTGAGATCTTGATGTTCAAAAAAAGACAACTTTAAAATATTATTTGAAATATTTTCTTCCTAGTTCCTAAAACCATACCTACACAACCTTTAGTATATTGTAATCAGACAAATCATTGACAGGAAAACCATTAAGAACAAATGAAGTCAAAGTGTTTCCTGCTTCTCTTAGTAGTAAAAGCTAATATTCATTGCATTGTATATTTTCAACTTAGAAAGCAAAGCTAGAACAACTAAATTTCTGTTTTGAGAAGTAGCAGCGTCTTACACAGCAAAGTTTCTTTCTGTTAAGTTGTACTTCAGAAGATTATTGTAACCAAGGGGAGGATGCTGCACACTATTGTTCTGGACAGTTGATTACTGAAGATACGGTTACTCTGTTGTAGCTTCAAGTAGATTTTGGGAAGCATTTAATCCCAGAGTGGTATGTTTTATTTGATTATTTTAGTAACAAAATATTTTGAGCTTTCAACTGGCTATCATGGCCCTATCTGGAGATTACACTAGGAACTCACAATGGTAAATGATACCTGGGCAGATGACTTATCAGACACTTACGATTCTGAAGCCTTCATCAAACCAATTTTTTAAAGCAATTATAGAAGGATTAAATCACAAAATATATAGTACCCTTTTTTCTAATCAATTATCTGTAGCCTTGACACAGTTTTTTCAGATCTACTAAAAACTATCCTTCTTTGTATTTATTTGCATTTTCCCATGGCCACACAAAATTATTGCTTTGAAGGGCTTGGAATTTCATTGTAGCTTTTATTAAGAGGTAGCAACTTGGTCCGAATCATGCCAGAAATAATATCGTACTTTATTTAGGATCCATAACAGGGTAATAATGTTTCTCTAATTCATGCTCAAAAGCTATTACTCTTGCCATGTCGAAAGAATAATTTCTTGGGTTATGAACAAGTATCTGCTTGAAGGACTTTATTGCAATTTTTGTTATGAGAAGTATAAATAGCTAAGATCTTCAGTTGCATAAAATAAGAATGAAATACTAATGTAATAACTAAACCATCAATAACATTAGCTTAACCACAGTTAATGAGCACAGTAATATGTTCATTTATTTCTTACCATCTTGGTTTCATTCGTTTATTTCTAATAAAGGTAGGAAAGGTTTTAGCTTCCTGTGTATTCATTTTCATTCATTCTTCTCTATATTTTTTTCTGTGTCTATTCCCAAATGTGCTTCCTAACAAATCCCTGTCTCTTGATAGCAGTGTGCAGGTATAGACACAGTCATGGCCTTTTTCCTTCCATGAAGTAATTGTGGGGCAGCAGGGAGAGCATTTTCTATTAGAGGAATTGGAGATTATTTTTGCTTTTTAAAATATAAGGCATATTTTATTTGTCTGTCTAGTTTAAGAGAATATCAACAGACCTGGGATAGAAATAAAAGATGTTTTATAAATCATTTTTGTAAACATTATCATTTCTCCCAAATTTAAAGATTTTTATTCCGATTTTTAAAATATATATATTTATTCATTATATAATAGTGTGCTTTTTAATAGAAGTATTAGGGAGGAACTTGATTCAGGTGTCACCACATTGGAGATGTAAATGATAATTATAAATGACTTTTATCACGTGCCACTTGCATTAGTGACTGCTTTATAAACAAAATGTGGCAGAGTCCTATCAGGAGATCCTGTTGTTCCCATTTATGGATTAGGATGCTGAGATTTAGGGATATAGTAAGCAAATTGTTCACTTCCACAAATTAGAGAGAGTGTCAGAGCTGGAATTTGAAGCCAAGTCTTCTGGCCACAGAACACCTCCTCTTTGTCACTCTATTTTGTGATCCCTCCAGGCCTACAGAATTGAAAGGGAGAGTTTTGCCACCATCCTGGATCTCATGCACAAATATGCTGTGTTCTTCATCCACCTTAGGGCCTGGGCTTTGTGTTATTTCACCACCTGTGGAAATGAAAATGTACCAAAACAACTATTACCGCTGCACAGTGGCCTGTCTTTGGGAAGGGGAAAGTTTTTTGAGTGTGAGGAATACAAGTGTTTGGTCGCGTAACCAAGCAAAACCAACTGTGCTGGCGCCGCAGTGTTAATTCTGACTAACCAAACTAATAAGGCCTAAGCTAGCGGAGGAATACAGAAAGCAATAGCATGTAATTTCAGGTTGAATGGATTTGTAACACCAAACTCTGATTGGGAGTTGTGTTTTATTCTCTTTTTTATTAATGTTGGGCATATTTTTAGTATAAATTTGAGAAGAGATTACAAAATAGTAAAAAAGTGTTTTTTACAGGCCATTGAGACTCATTTGATCCGCAAGTCTAGCAGCGGACTAACTTACATCGCGGAGTGGAAAGGGGGCCTCTTGGAGCACAAGATGGGCCACCTGACCTGCTTTGCAGGAGGCATGTTCGCACTCGGGGCTGATGGAGCTCCCGAAGGCATGGCCCAACACTACCTTGAACTCGGAGCTGAAATTGCCCGTACCTGTCATGAATCATATAATCGAACATGTGAGTACATGTTATGCTTCACTTACAGTCTATTCCCACATGCTTTGATTTCATGCAGTTTTGTCATTGCTGCCATCAAAAGACTGTCCACTCTGCCTATGAAACTTGATGATCGTGATTAATGTCATAAAGGAATGTATATTTTTATTTTAAAAGGCAATGATTTTCTACCTGAAAATATCTACCTTTAGTTTGCCAAGAAACAAAAATCCAGGTCCTAAAGAGTTAAAGCCAGCCTAATTTACTGACTTCTGCTTTTGCTAATAACACTGGACAAGGGTCTCTATCTCCCTGCAAAGAGAAACTTAGCATTGTATTATCCATTGTTAATCTTCTCCACATCCCCCATGAAACAGATCATGAATCCCACTCCCTTCTTATAAAATAGGAATTTGCAACACAAAGTACAAATAACTGGCCTTTTGTAGCAAAATTACTTAGGATTGTCAACCACTAAATTTCTGGCTAACTCAAATGGTATTCCACGGTGTCTTGCACTTGCCTGGTGGGTGCTCAGTAAATGGGGGTTAAATGAAAAAAAAAAAAAAATTGTTACTGTTTTCTAAAATGGGCTCTTTTAGATGACTAAACGTTTTAAGTATATGAGTTTTATGTATTCCATGATGTTTATAACTCTTTTTTAAAACTGACCACTTTGACATCTCTCTTCAGTGTTGTTAAAGTACAGTCAGACCTTCGTATCCCTGGGTTCCACAACCGCAGATCAGAAATGTTCCCCCAAAAAATGGATGGTTCTCTCTGTACTGAACATTTATAGAATTTTATTTTTCTTTTCACTATTCCCTAAACAATACAGTATAACACCTAGTTACATAACATTTACACTGTATTAAGTATTATAAGTAAACTGCAGATGATTTAAAGTATATGGGAGGATGTACCTAGGTTGTATGCAAATACTTTGCCATTTTATATAAGGGACTCAAGGAGCCATGGATTTTGTTATCCTCGGAGGGTCCTGGAACCAATCCCCCACAGATACTGAGGGATGACTGTACTTTCTAGTTTCATTTAAGTTATTGACTGTAAGCACTGTCCAGAACAATAACCCTTATTCATTCATTCCATGTCCTTTAGTTATGAAACTGGGACCAGAAGCTTTCAGATTTGATGGTGGTGTTGAAGCCATTGCTACAAGACAAAATGAAAAATACTACATCTTACGGCCAGAAGTTATGGAGACTTACATGTATATGTGGAGACTGACTCATGATCCAAAGTACAGGAAATGGGCCTGGGAAGCTGTAGAGGTGATGTTTTAATTTGCATGTTTCTTATAGATAAATGTCATAGTAAAAAATGTTCAGTTGATACCTATAAATCAGGCTTATCAACTTTTCTATAATTTTTAAAGCTTCAACCAGGATTTTTTTCCACCTAGGACTGTATATTTTCATTGAAGTCGTTTTATTGATATAGATATACCTAGTGATAGACTTAGATATTGAAGGAGATGACTAGAAAGGCATAGTCTAAAATTAAGTTCCCATTAATACAAAAATGATGATCTCTTAATTCCACCTAAGGCTTATTGGCAGCTTGGGGATATTCACCTCTGTCTGTTTCAATAAACACTTCATGTTTTTTTCTGTCTTTGAGCTTTAAAATGCTAGTATATGCTTCTACTTAGAGTAAATAGCTACTTAGATCTAACTTTTAGGAAGCACTTATAGAAGAATTACTTTGTATAAGGATATTCCTTCACCAGCCTCAGGTTTCTTGGAGTATCTGTAAGCTTTCCATCTGCCCAGGGTGTTATTTTCATTGTCTGTCACCTCTTGGGTCTCTTCCTGCCCAGGATGGTATATCTCCTTCCTAAACTAATCTAGTGAATGCTTTGTGTGCCAAATGCCTGAGGAGACACCCTGCAGGATATGCATCTAACAATGTCTGTCTAATTGTAAGAGTTATTATTCCGCAAGGAGTGGAAGGGAATTCAGGTGATAAGAACAAGCAAATGCTTTAATTACACTCTCATTCTCTAGCACTCTTTGTTAGAAAGTTAGCTATCTTTAAAAACTGTCCATGAGGAATGACTTCTCTCAGGAAATCTAAAATGAATATTGCCTTTGGTAAAATTTAACTAATATCTTAGGAAGCCATCGGTGAATCTTGCTGATTATCCTCTTCATTTAGTATGTGTCTTCTTATTAATCATCAGTCATTTTAAATAACAGCAATTCTCTAGGCCTCTTTGAGGGGGCAGTTTTATTACATTTAATCAGTAGTCATTGTAATTTCTTTACATTTCTGTTTTTTTCCTCTGGAAAAAAAATGTTAAAATTGAGGCTTTTCTAAACTTTGATGATAGGAATTGTTTTGATCTTCAATTGGCCAGCAAATGAATTGAATATCAGTTTAAGTTGAGAATATCAGGAATAATGTATTCCATCAAATCTAAAACACCATAGTTAGTAAGAAGCATCATTGTTTTATATACCACTAAGAAAAATAACACTGCCAATTAAATTATGACATCCATTTTATAGATGTTAGAATGTGCAAAATGTATGGCCAAGAAGGGATCAAAAATGGAAGGTAAGCAAATTCGTATTGCAAGGTAGACAGGGTGCTTTGGTTTGCTCTGTTCTTCGGGAGGTTGGTTGTTTATGGGATCATAAAGTTGGTTTATGTGTTATGATTTTTATTTCTTGTCAACCCTTTAACATATGACATGAAATCATTTCCCTGTGTCACAACACTGAGGTCTCAATTTTGGGGACGCCCCCAGTAACCTCTGCTAGAACCTGAGCTATAGTGGTGAGCAAGGAGTGCTGTAGGATCTTGCATTTTTTAAACCAGAAAAACTGGGACTTCGAAGGCATGGCCGCACATTTCCCCCGCCCCCATGGCCTCCTGTGTTTCAGCAGCAGCCCCGCATATGCTAGCAGCTCTCACCTCCAGCACCTCCAGCACTTGGCTGTTGTGATGCACACTTGAGACCACAGCTGGAAACCATGTCAGGAAAAGAAGGTGGAAGAGCTTTCCCTAGCCAGCTGGCTGTGGTCTGGGAAGTGCTGGGGAATGGCTGGCAACCAAGGAGGTTTTGGAGTTGATGGATAACTATCCCAGTCTTCTTTCTTTCAAGAATCATTCTGGAATGCATGCTACATGGTTCTTCAGAGAGTTTCTAGCAGGAGTGAGCCTCGTTGCACACAGTCGTAACTTAGTATAATTCATTGGCTCTTGCGTCCCTGTTTTGCTCTTCCCACTTGCCCACTTCCTGCTGTCACCTCCCTGACAGACTTCCTGCATCCTGCGTCCAACCTTTGTCTCATGCTTTGTTTTTAAGGGAACCCAAACCGAAACCTAGGGGGTCTTAAAAATCACCTCATTCCGCTTTCTACTTAAAGACAAGACTCCCTTCCAAATCTCTGCAAGATAGCTGTTCCTCATCAACCCAAGGACTTCCCAGCGAAGGGGAATGTATCACCTAATAAAGTAACTCATTCCAATTGATAATGGTTGAAGGTGTTAGAAAGTTACTTATTTTGAAGCCACAATTTACAATGTTCTGTGCTCTGGGGGTACCAGAGGAAAGAAATCTCCCTTCTACATTTCAGCTCCCCAGTTATCTGAAGACAGCACGTTCTGCCATCTCTTCCTTTCCTCATCCATCATTTCCCTTGATTTTCTTCTCCTGACCTGGTTTCCAGCTGTGGTCTTTTAGGGCTGAGCAGTGTGTCTCAAAAACCTCTCTTCCTCTCTTAGCAATGTGATTTTTCACAGCTTATAGTCCAACTTGTTCTTTTAGTAGATTTATATTTAAGTCGTATTACTATTTTAAAAAAAAATTGCCACGCACTTTGGGAGGCCTGAGGTGGCGAAGTCACGAGGTCACAAATCGAGACCCCATCCTGGCTAACACGTAGTTGAAACCCCCATTCTCTATCTATAAATACAAAAAAAAATCTTAAGCCAGGCGTCGGTTGGTCGGCGCCTGCTCCCCCCACAGCTACCGGAGATGAGCGCAGGAGCATGGATGATACCCGCCGGGCGAGGCGGAGCTTCGCGTCCGAGCCGGATCACAACTGGCGCACTCACAACCTGATGACCGAGCCAGACTGTCTCCTCCCAAAAAAAAAAAAAAAGCACCCAGCCTATACCTCGCAAAAGTTATAGCCCACGTGTTAGCTTCTCCGACTTCGCTAGTCCACCCGTCTGAGTCCACTCTTCCTTTGCCTGTAACTTTTTCACCCATACTTTCAGTCCTGTAAATTGGTAGCCCGTCTCTTTCTTCTACAAAGCCTCCCTTCCCAGCCCCTTCTTTCATGATACACTTGAGAACTGGCTTTCCTGTTACTTAAATTCTCTATAATACACTGTCAACATACAGATATCGGGGCACAGTATACTACCACTCCACCACGCCTAACACCACCTAGGCCGCAGTTCTCTTTTGGGGTTAAAGCACTCCATCTAACTCACCAGATCGTTCCACGCACTATCCAGCGCGCCTGAACAGACAATAATCATTCTTATATTAATAACTACTTATCACATTTTTTATATAATAAAGATATTTTTTACTCTTTTATTTTATTTTATTTTTTATATTTATTTATATCTCAATCATACATTTTAATTTTATCAGTAAACCCTAATTATACATTGCAAATCTATATTCCCATAATTCTTAACTGATATTTCTCTCGCTTTCTCCTCAACAGTCATGAATCCCAGGCGTGCGTGGCTCAAGCCTATTCCCGGGCCAGCATGTTGGGAAGCGCGCGCCGGCGGTGGGGGTGGCTCGAGCTAGCGACGCTTTACGATCAGCCCTTGGCAACAATCATCACGCAACGTGTCTCCTACAAACATTTAAAAGCATTCAGCCTCCATCGTTCATGCCTGCGTGCGAGCCGAAACATACCACCCAACCAGTCCCCCCTCTTCAAATCTCATTCCCTTTTCCCTTCTTCCTCTTATATGTGCACAAAATAAGCTGGATACGCGTGTTATTGGTGTTCACCAACATACACTGTCTTGAAATATCATATAACCCATTGTGCGCAGGTATCAAAGCTTTAACAACTCGACTTCTCATAGCCCTTCCAAGTAGCTGTTCATGGTGGTTAAGACATTTAAATCCTACTCCTCTCAAGCCCCACCTTCTTTTGTTTTCTATAGAGATCGGGGTCTCAATTCTATCGCTTGCCGCCCGCAGTGACTGCGTTTGCCTCTGGGGCTCAGTGATCCTCCGCCCACCCATGGCTCGGCCCCTCCCAAAGTGCCTGCCTTCCGCATGTACCCACCCAGCCCAGCCTCTCTTAGCATGTTTTTTTTTTTTTTTTGGTTCACGGCCCATCTTATTAAGTATTACCCATCTACCTTGTTACTTAACTGGTTCCTATTCATCTCGACTCCCCATTCTGTACACATAGATTATCTTGAACTCTACTCGTCTTAAGTGACATTTTACTATCCTTTGACCACATCCTCAGCCACTCCAGCCCCCACAACCGCCCGCCGCTCCTAATCCCACATGTCCCTCACAAGCCATATAACTTGCAAACGTACCTCGGACGCTGAGATGCTTAATCTATCATTTGTCCATCAGGGAATGGAAATCAAAAGCACAATAAGGGGCATAACCAATCCTCTCCCATAAACAC